AATGTCCTGTACTTAACAAGTTTTGGGAGAAAGTAGTAGACTATATAAATATGATTGTGCGACAAAAACTAAATTTTTCAGAGGATAATATTCTTTTGAACTATATACCTAGTACATGGAACTTGACAACCAGACAATGTAAATGAGCCTTCGGGAGAGATGGGCAGCATACTAGATAGATGGATGGATGGATGGATGGATGGATGGATGGATAGATGGATATATGGATGTATTGCCCCATTTATTCAATTGATTGAAGACTAGATTGCACTTGCTACTTATGAGCAGATTGTCTATAAACGTAGACTTTGTATGGAGAAATATAATGAAATATGGGCTCATTTATACAAAATACAGTGGTTAAAAAAATTATAGTCATATAAATGTTTTAGAAATATATATGTACTTGAATAACATTTACATTAGATAAATAGAGAACTATAATTGTTTACTGTTATAATGACATATTAATATGCTTTATTCTTCTGTTGTATTTCTTTCACTTTGTTAAAGCATTTTCTATGTGTTTTTTTCTTCTTTTCAATAATAAAAAATAAAGAAAAATTTAAAAAAGAAAAGAAAAAAAGAAAAAAAGAAAAAATATCCCTTTGAATGTAAGGGGGTCACAATAGCCTTTTCTGGATTCCAGTATCTTATTTTCAGCATTGATCTGTAGTCCAGGGGCAAATCAAAACTTTGCAGTAGCAAAGAGTCTTCTTACCTAGTAGTGGGACAAGGCTTTCAACATACCAAACAAGCCTGGAGAAATGAGGTGGTTCTAGAACAAAGGTTTCTACCAAGGCTGATGATACCTTCCATTTATTTGGTCAACTATGAATATTTTTATTGAATTTCTTGTCCTTGAATTTCATAATTGGGATAATCTATGCTTATCATATAAGATTTAACATTTCATGCATGAATCTGATCACAATCACCCACAGGTAGCTCATTTGTAGAATATGCAATGAAACAATTTATGTAACGTTGGACAACAAAACTAGTATTGAATCTGAACTGTACCAATTGTTTCAACTGCTAAATGGTTACTTACGTACATACTTGTTGTATGATACCCAACAAGTATCTTCTGAGCAGGGAGATATCCTGTGTTTTCTGCCTATATATCCAGCACTTGGAGAAAGCTCAGTACAGTGTGAACTACTGCAAGTTTGCAAATCTTGTATTTCTCTTTGTCTAAACAGGTCCCAGCTTGCAGCTCCACCACAACAAAGCCACTCAGAAATAAAGGAAATTGTTCTGAGGTCATATATCAATATAGCATTAATGACTTAATGAAACATGAACTATAATGGCAGAACAGAGTAATATTAGAAAGACAATTAATTATTTCTAATCATAGAAAATGTACTAAATATTAGGGATATCTATTCCCATTTCATCTTGCATGTTGCCTGCCAATTCACATTTCTTTCTTCTTACAAAGAAATGATCTATTGTTCGCTCTTATTAATTCTAAAGTACTTATGCCATCAACACTGGTTCTCATGCAATAGGTGGCAACATAGATCAGAATGCCTAAGCAAATATAATTTAAAAAGTATAACCACCTCACTCAAAATGTAGAACTAATACAAGGTTAAATAGTTTGAAATAAGAATAAACAATATTAGCCATGAATCTGAATAAATCAAAATGTATCATTATTTTTTTTTCAAAAAACCTCTCTATGCCAGAAACTACTTTCACTATTTTGATCCTTAGCTTCATGACTAACAATGTAATCTGACCATGTCAACATAGAATTAGATGCTTTTGAGGTAATGACGTGTGACAACATTAAGTCTGGCGAAAAACTTTAATTAAAGGTACAGAGTAAATTCAAATGCAAAATCTATCTTCAAATGCTAGACTTAGAGTCTAAGTCTAAATACAGATATAAACATTTTAAAGGATGGGATAGAAAAAGATAATTTTAAAAAGGAACATTAAGGTACTTCTAGAGATATGATTCTTAGCCTGTTAGCAATTACCCTTATATATATTAACTGAACTATATATAATGAAAGAGAAGAAATACTTTGGCAAGGTTGCAGAATGGAGGAGTCTGGGAACACTGTGAATTGTTATGTTCTTCTCTGTACTTAAGAAATGTCTCTGCCTTTTTAATGGATTAGATAACATGGCTTAGTTTAGCTCTACATGGTTATGAGAAAAGTAAGATTTATTTATTTTGTATGGCCACCCACTCTTGACATTCTGCTGATGGATTCCCAGCTAAGATCAGTTTTCAATGTCAGAAAACAATGGAGATTGGTGACTAAGCAATTTAACAAAAAGTAGGTCCTACTGAAGACAGAATATCCTTGTATTCCTCCAGAATGTGGCACTACATTATTTTTCTATTTTGGAACTAAACACTATATGGGTAAATGACTGGTTCCAAGCCTGTATTTGTCAACAGCAGAAAAGCAGAGTTGGGCATCAAAGCAGAAAAGACTGGCAGATGGGCAGGCCAAACATTAAATTTTCATCTCCAATGCAAATTTCCCATTTCCCCAACTGGTATAATTTTCAACTGTAAAGTCCAGTGGGGATTTTTTTTTTAAGAAAACAAACTTCCAATTATAGCTTAAGGTACCAGGAGCAGAGGTTTTACCATTTATCTTGCTACATATTGCAAATTTACCCATATCCTTTCCATTGAAATCTTTACAATAGCCAAATAAAGTGGACTGATGTTATTAATGTGCCTTACTGGGGTGAGAAAGGTGTTTGAGACGATGGTACCTTAAACATCACTGAGTTTGGAATCTGAACTTGAGCTATGTTTTTCCTTCAAATAAATGCCCATTCCAGAAAAATAAGTGAGGATTGCTGTTACAATATGGTAAAAGGTAAAGTCTTCCATAAGCTGAATTTGATTCTTAGTGCTAGATGTTCATATTAGTTTGCTGGCAACAATATGGAAGTAGTTTGTCACTGCCTTTTTCTGAGTTTATTTTCAGCTTCTTAGTGTAATCAGGTATTTCCTGGAACTAACCCAGATCTGCGTCTTTTTTTTTTTAAGTTGAAAATGCTTTAACTAATTATGATAATTATGACAAGAACGTTGGTTGAATGCCCCAGTCTGTATGTGTACATGTAGAGTGTGCATACTAAAAATAATTTCAACAAGCAAATAGGGGCTCATCAAAAGGCAAAATGTTTTATTGCATCTATAAAAGTAACAATGAGAGCCAGTTTGGTCTAGCGGTCAAGGCACTGGGCTAGAACGCAGGAGACGGTGAGTTCTAGTCCCGCCTTAGGCATGAAAGCCAGCTGGATGACTTTGGGTCAGTTTCTCTCTCTCTCTCAGCCCAACTCACCTCACAGGGTTGTTGTTGTAGGGAAAAGAGGAGGAAGGAGTATTAGGTATGTTCACTGCCTTGAGTTATTTATAAAAATAATAAAGGCAGGATTAAAAAAAACAAAAAAATTACATTTCAGTCCAATTAAAGACAATGGTAAAACAAAATAAGGAGTAGACAGAAACATGAAAGAAGCAGAAACAAAACAAAGTGGGATAGAGGAAAATGTAATGATATCTGGCATGATTAAACAGTCTCTACATAAAGCTAAAAGCCATGATGATTATACTATTAATTATTTTCATATGCAACTTCCCCTTTCCTCCTAATCTGATGAGAATATATGAAATCAACAGGTTGCATTCTAATTCTGATTTGCACACAAATAAAACAAATGTTCTGAAATATAGTGAAAAACCATGAAATAAAAGAAATGGATTCCTTCTGAAACAAAGACATGGAAAGATGCAAAGTCTGTTATGCCTGCCGGGGCTAGGCCTACATTCCTAGCATACCACAACTCCCTGCGAAGTAACTTGGGGAAAAAAACAGAATTAAATGTCAAGTCAACTATCATATTTATTTCTATCAACTGATACCTAAACCTGAAAAGGCTTTACAGAATCTGTAAAGCATCAGTCACATTTCAGTGGATAACAAGTTATCAGGAGGGCTTTTAAAAACAGAAGGAATTGAGTTTTTAGTGATTTTTAAAAGATCCAAATTTCAAATTGTTTGCTGAAGCAGCAGGACACTACCTTTCAACCTGAATGGATGCAACCAAGGTTAGAGTGAAGGTTAAATGAATAGAGAAATTCATTTTCAAAATGCATGCGGTAATACAGAGTCAGAGCATCAAGGTCTTACTCAACAGATACACCCAGGGTAAATATTTCCCAGATGGAAATGTAAAAGCCTTTTTTCTTTTAGTTAAATAAAGGTTGCACTCTACTTAATTAAAAGGTGTCCAGAATACCGTAAAACGACATTTTAAAACGAAAAAAAGAAGAAAAAAGAAGATTCACAGAAGGACAGAGGCGTATCAGGTAGAAATCTTTCGTAAAAGGAGGACAAAGAATTTCACCCTCCGCTCCCACTTCTCCCCGCCTCCAAACGCTTCAAGGCTGGAGGTTTCATTTATTTCCCAAGATGTATTCAAGGCTCTGCACAGAAGGACCGCTCCAGTCCCAGCCTTAATCATTCCTTTTAATATCTACCACGATTTTTTTAAGGTCTCTCTTTCTCTTTCTCGAACGGAAATGACTCGCCAGTCACCCACAATGCCGTTCCGCGCCTTTTTCTTTTAAATCATGGAGGAAAGCAAAATAAAAGCGGGGCTCGCCCGCCTGGCAGCCTGGTGAACCCCCGATGCCCACCGCCCTCAGTGCCCGGGGGAGGCAAGGCCAACGCGCGCGTTAGGAACACGAGCGTTCCTCGCTCGCCACGCGGCTTTCTCCCCCAGGCAAGAATGCCCAGAGCCAGGCAGCACCCGCGCTGGTGCTCTGACGCCTGCCATGTGGCTGGAGAAGAAAGGCCCGGCACGCTAGGCTGTCTTCCGAGCCATCTCCCCCGGCAGCCCCCAGGCTTTCTCCGTGTTTCGAGCGGGGGGGAAGGGGGAAGAGGCCTTGCCTTGCCCACCCAGCTTACCTGTAAAGCAAACGACTCCTTTCTCTCCCTCAGTCAGAAAGACTCCGAGCCGCGATGCCTCCGCTGCGCCTCCACCTTGAGCTTTTTCTGGTGGCGGTCTGGGTCCTCCTGTAAGATACCTCGCTTGGGCGCTGGGCGCTCCTGTTGGGGTGGGTCTCACCGGACGCGCAGAAGAGGAACGTGTGTAAATGTTTTCTCAGTCGTCACCGTACGCCTGATGTAAGGATCTACGGCTACATTAAAATCCTTTCAGAAAAGCGTGGTAGAGCGCGCTATGAATGAATGAATGAACGAACGAACGAACGAATGAATGAACGGTCGACGGCAATTTCCTGCGGCGGCTCAGTCATCAGCATCCCCTCCTCCCCATCTCCCCCTCCTCGACGTCAATCTACGTAGGGCCTCGGCAAAACCGGTAAAGCGATTCACTGCCAGCTGCACCTGGCGCGTGGCCTGAGCTTCCGGGTTTATGACTTTTTGGGCTTGTTTAAATCGTGGTCGCTCGGGCAGTCGCTTTGCCTCGTGGGTGCTTTCCCTCTTCCTCTTCGACCTCCTCCGGTGGGACCGTCCTTGGTGTTTTGGGTAGATCTGCCCGAAGATGGATGGGAGGGATTCGGGGGCTTTATAGCCGCCGCATCCGCCCGCTCGGTTAGGAGGAAAGGCGCCCAGATGCTGACCTCGGGTCCTGCTTTTCCCCGGTCTGAGCGAACAGCCGCCGCTATGCGAGCTTCCTCTCTGGTGGACGGCCCTAGAGGAGTGGTGGAGATCCCGTTTACGGGTTTCTGCTCGGCAGTCACTTGCTTCATCCGTACAAGGGAAGCGGTTAAAAGGGCTGCTTGTGATCAGGGGGGTTACTTTTTGTCTAAGGGTCTACGCTTCCAGGTGGGTTGGGAGTACCAACTCTAAAGCTGCTGGCGGGGGATAAAGGGAGTTGTAATCCGGCTTCATAGGGCGGAGAGGGGGGGCACATTCCGGGAAACGCTGCTGGAGTTGTAACGCTCGCTGTGCTTTTTTGTAAAAGAAGGGGGGGAAAAAGGACGAGCATTTTTTACAGCCACGCCCTGGGTTCAGTTACCTGCAACCTTTCCTTATGAGTTTGATCTTAAGGATGCTTATTAGAAATCTGAAATGATAGGCTTTGGAGAATCGGCTGTTTGTAGATTTTGCTGCTCTGATAAATCAATGATGATAGAGAAATCTCTGTGAAATCCATGGCTTCCTTGCCTTTTAGTCAAATCATGTCTTCCTTGCAGGAGCAAAGAGAATCACATAAAGGGGTAGCTGGCAGGGTTAACACTTCCTCTTCTTCCCATAACTGAGGTGCCGGATGCTATGCCAAGGAAACTGTTGAGATAAAGAGGTGATATTTCAGTATATTTAGCAGATACTTCCTTGTATACTAGTTGTGTAATGTTTGCCAAATAGTGTTCAGGACACTCTGTTCACAATTTCCCCAGTGCTGGTTTTGAAACATATTTACTGGATGCAGGTCCCTCAGTTTTCCTGAAATTATAGCAACGACTGTGGCCACAGCTGTATGTCACTGGACAAGACTTTCCAATAACAGCAGGAAAATACATCTATCTGATAGGAAATTGTGGCAACATTTACATGAATATTTACATCCTGCTTCTGAACTCAGTGAAGCGTGCCTTATCTAGACGGAACTGAGACTATTTACAACATGTTGTAATACTTCCATCCTTGCATCATCTTTCTAATTTTCAAACCCATACATTTTTCTCTCTTTTCAGAAAAAGGCCCATAAGAACACATTGCACTTTTAAAAAAGGATGATGAATTTATGTGAAAAAGAATAGTTTTTCTTAGTGCAGCTGTAGTTAGTCTAAGGGATCAAAGAGGATGATGCAAGTGATAAAAAAGAAGAAATGGATTGGGTGACTAAAGAATGGCTTTGTCTCTGGTGTCACCCATCAAAAGGAGGGAAGGGAAGATGGAGGATTTTTCTGAGCTTTTACATCTCTATCAGGCTTACCTTGGACTGAACAAGACACCAGGTCCAAAAGAGGCTGATAAATCTACATTTTAAAGTACATCTACATGGGACCAGATTATTTTAAGAACTGGCTCCTCCCATCCTACATGAACCAGCTTGAATACAAGATCAACATTGCAGGCCCTAAACCCTGTTGCATACCTATATCAGAAACAGCGGGCTCACACAAGTGACAGCATATTCCTTCTTAGCTCTACTGGTTCAAATAATCTTCTTATTGATCATGACAGAAATTGTGTAAAAAGTGAACAATATTGACTTATATGAAATACCCTTAGACATGTTTTAGTAAACAAAAATGTCACATGTTTTAACAGTTTAAAATGTTTGCGTTGATATATACTTATTATGTGAAAAGTTTGAACTCATCCTAATACATGTAAATAGTCTTTTGAAATAAATTATTCATTTTAATGATGTAGAAGGAAGTATTACCATACTTTTGATTGTATGGACAACCCACAAAAGTTGCAATGTCGTCACTGCACGGATGCACTGAATTTGGGGTTAGGGATGTGGACAGCTGAATAAGCATGTTAGTTAAACAAATAAACTGTGATCATAGACCATTTTGCCATATCAGTATTGAGTTTTATCTTAAGTATCAATTCTTGCCTTCCTTTCAATCAACTGTAAATGTCAAAGCACAAACATTAAACTCTTGATGCAGAACTGTATCTGTTGAGAGTGGCCATTCATCAAATATTCATTTAGTAACTTGCAAAATTAGATCACTTATTAAGCTGTCTAAATAGTAACATACAAACCCAATGTTCTGTCTTTTGTGCAGAGCAAATGAATACATTTGAGGAAAAGATCGTGTGTGTGTGTGTGTGTGTATAGATAGATAGATAAAAGACACGGCAGGTTATTTTAAATAATATAGTTTGAATGCTTCCATTTAAGTCCCTTTAATAATAACTAGTAATTACAGATCATGTCAATGTCTCTTTATTTTTTTAGACATCTGTTAATACACTGCATTGTAAAAGTTGTTTAATTTCTGTATGAATTGTTCTTATGTTTAAAAGAACAACAGCTGTTTATTTCCCTAAAGGCATATTATCTTAGCAAATGTAGGACAGAACTGGTACAACTTCTTTAAAAGGGGGAGAAGGTTCTTTAACATATGCCAGTACTGTGTCAAATGCTATAAGAATAGAACTGTTTCTACCTTTGTACGTGTAATTGCATTTAGTGTTCTAAAGAGGGCAATGAATGCAGAAATGTACTGAATAGCAAGTAGTTTTTAAAAATACAAGCAGCTAGATACACCATTAAGACTATGGAAATTATATGTCCTTGCCAATGCAGTAGTCTCTATATCTCATGTTTCCTGAGTCAGGGAGATAAATAACTGTTATAAAATCACATCAAAAAGTCACCCACCCCAATATCACTAATGATGATTGTTGGGTTGAAGGAGCAACAATTTGCTCCACAGGTGCATGGATGAAACCAATGGACCTGGGTTGATGGGGATTTTCTCCAAAGCACTACCTTGTACAACATTACGTTACGTTTCCTGAGTGGGTCATGGTGGCTACAGTTTCTTAGAACTTAAAGATCAAACTTTAAAAATGGGCCAAGTTTTAGCAGAAAAAATCCTGAAAAATTGTCCCAATGCATCCTTATGGGAGAAGTGCTGGGCAGTGGCTCAGAATGTTGCTAATTGTTCCACTCGAAGCCCCCTCTCCCCTCCCTCCTGGTCATGGGTTCCAGAGCTTCCCAGTGCTCACATATTCACAAGCACCTAGACAACATGCTACTTGGTTACACAGAAGACAATACAGATACTTCCTATGACCACTGTTGGTAAAGGTGTTGGAAAGGCTTCCAGAAGCCATGCTCTGGCTACTTTCTCTACCTTGCTTTCTTTATGTGTACTTTCTTTCCACTACTTTCTTTCATAGATTTGGAAGGTTCTTGGAGGTTGTCCAGTCCATCCCTGCCTAATGCTGGAATCCATTACTCTAGCATTCCTGACATGGTCACACACCTCCTGTTTCAAACCCCTTGGGTGAAGGAGAATCCAACCTCTCTTGAGGCAGCTGTGTCATCGCTGAACAGCTCTTCATGTTGGCGAGAAAATCCTGTTGTCAAAACGTAATCTACTTCCTTGCAAATGAAACCTTTGCTTCTTGTCCTGTCTTCTGGAACAATAATTCTGCCCCATTTTCTATCTGACAGTCCTTATGTTACTTGGAGAAAGCAATCATCTCTCCCTACAGTTTTTTGTTCTTCAGGCTAAATACACCCATGCAAGCGGAGTTTGAGTAAGCTTCAGGTGCCTTGTTGTTTCCCCTGGTTGCATTCAGGACAATTATTTACTGTTACCTCCAAGCTTTGAATGGGATAACAATAAACAACCCCTGTTAGTTTTCCCTGGAGTTGATTTCAGTTGCAAGGATAAGCTCAGTGTGTATTGCTTTGCTTTATTTCCTCTTTTCTTTATCCCTACTAGGTAAACCTCTGGTTTCCCCCTTTCCTCAGCCCCAGGTTTCTTCCTTCTCAGCAGAGCTTTTCCCAAGAACTCACAGATGATAACACTAATAGGAAGTTAATTTCTCTGCAAATGACCCACTGAAATGAATTAGCACAAGGGAGCAAGCGGAGTTTGACAGAAAGAACTGGAACATGTGTGAGAAAAATCTGAAATATATTCACACGTCTCTAAGCAATCCAATTAAAAAGCTGCAAAGGTAGTCATGCGCAACCTATATCCTACTAAGGGGAAACTTTGATTTAGTCAAATCCATTCAGCCCAAACAGCTTTAGCAGAGCTGCCAGTGTGGGGCTGGATGATCTAGGCCCCTTCCCTCAGGCAAGCACAGGGCCTCGGTCTCTGACTCCAAGGAGGAGATGCTCTGGCCTCTTGCTACTTTCTACTGCAGACAGCCCACGGGACATTTTTACCAGAGTACATCATGAGAAATGCCAGTCTGGAAGAATCACAAGCCAGAATTAAGATTGCAGGGAGA